TGGTGATTTGGAATTAAATGTTCAAAACAAAACTTCATCAGATTCTCTGGCTTTTAAGCTTTGGCAGTAAATAAAGTGTTTTATTAGAGGAACTGATTACACACCAGATTGGAATAAAACTGACAAGTAAATATCACTACAAATGTCAGAAAAATACTAATAATCAATCATTTAGTATAAAATAAAGATTCAAAGCATCTCTTTGCAAGGCATCTGTCTCCCTGCTGTGTGCTTAAAAAGCCCCAAGATGAACCCTCACAGTCCAATAAAACGTCACTTAATAACAGACGAAGAGAAAATCCTCATAAAGAGACTAAGATACCGTCAATCAATACCCGACCATCAAAACATATTGCACTCCTGAGGACAGAGTGACAGGGAAGAAGCAAGATGTTTGACTCTGAATTATTTTTCCCAAACCGAACAGACCGCAAAGCGTCACAGCGTGTCACGTTCACTGACCCATAAAAACAGCTGTTCACCCTTGAATTCTCTGCTTTACACAAACAGACTGTGCCCTTACCGACACTTGCAGGTTAGACTCTGAGCTTTCATTTGCCTTTTATAGGTTAGAAGATCTTAACACCCCCCAAGTTTGTTTTCAGCTTGACATATCATTCACTAAACAGCAATAAAGGTGGAACAAAGTGTTTATTCTCCTAACATTATGTAAGGTTCTGATTTAATTTTCCATAAATGTCACTTACATGAAAAAGTTAAAAGTGAATGCCTTGTGCTCAGTATTTTCCTTTTGACATGTCATAATTGTGCACAACACTTATTGTGTATCACAGCATGTTATGGTCATACTATCTGATTTATTGCCTGCATTTGTAAAATAAAGACATGGATAGTTTGAAGTTACAAATGATCCCAGAGCATCATCATTCTCACCTCCAGGCTGGTCAATAACCTATTACACTCCACTCATAAAATGTCTCTTTTTGCCCAACTGCTTATAAATCATTGGTCTTTAATCCCGTTTCTTGTGACTTTAGAAGTTTTCAGATTGTGCCTTGCATCATGTTTTTTGATAAAGCATCTGTTTGACATCAAATTCTTGGGTTTTACAAAATCAGTCTGCTGCCTTTTTGATCTCTATCACTTAACCTCAGGAAATATCAAGAGATGAGAAGAGATGAAAGTGTTTGGACCCAGCACGCTACCAATTTTCAGTTGAAGGGGACTAAATAACACCTATGGCAACTTTAAATGAACATACAGAGTTTGTTACTGGTTTCTCTGCATAGTGGCACAACTAACAGCTATAAGACAGATTTATGAAAAAATAATTTTTCATGATGTGATAATATTATTAACACTGCACAGCAAATGATAGCTGTTATAGAGTGACAAACTAGCACACATTCAGATTCCTGGGGAGATGCAAAACAGGCAGAGCATTATTTCAGGACTAGATTGTTGTTTGCAGTCAACTGGGCACCAAAAACCAGGGCTATGGTGTTGGTTTCTTGAAGAAATCTTTGTTTAAATGGGCATCTCTGTTCTGTGTGCATGGATAAAGCTGGTCATGTTTGGGCTTACATTCAAACATCTCAACACATTCACTGAATAGACAAGATAATGTTAGACTGATGGATGTTCCCAGAGAATAAGAATGAGTGAGAAAATAATTCTCATAAGATTTGTAACTCAAGTATGGATTTTCTCTACAAATTAATATGTTTTTCTTCCTTTTGGTAATTTTGTTGAACCACTATTAAATAAAGAAAAACAGTTTTTGACTGAATTGTGAAACCAAATCACATGTGAATCCCATATTTCAGATAGAGAGCCTAAAAGCATTTCCTATTTTGTATTCAAAGTTGGTTGAGAGTATATTGATGCTTTTTGTCAGAATTGTCTTTTGAAAAATTGCACATCACAAACACATCACCAAACGTATCACAAATTTAACAGTCAAGGCAAACAGCGCTGTCCAGTGTTTCCCTGAAATGAGGATCAGTTTGGAGAAGGTGGTGCAGTGAAAGTTTCATCTTTACAATGCTGCTTTCTTCATGTCTTTTTTTCTGTTAATTGGATGAGTGGCTGTTAGCTGTTAATGGTGAACAAATTTGAAGGGGGCAGTTATTCAAATTCATTAGTATGCTAGGTGCTGATGGCAGCAGTTTGCAAAGCTAAGGAAAATGTGGTAAAGAAAAAAGCTCAATACTTCTAGTGGTGCATGCAGTCTTCTTTCCTTTACAGGCCTGTTTAAAAGCAAGCCTCATGGTCAGCTTTGCTGCAAAAAAGTAAAAGAGGAGACTAGAATTAAAATCAGTAACTTCTATATGAGCAAAAGAAAAGACAAAATTCCTAACTTTTTCCTTTGAGCAGTTACTGACTGTACAGTTTTTTTTTTTCTTTATTTAGAAAAGTCATGGTGAGGGAGGAAAAACCTGGGTACTCTTAACTGAGCTGTCAAACTAAAAGCTGATTATCTTCATTAGATGCCCAGATGACAGTTATCACCAGCCCAATTATCCATACCACATAGCTGTCATCTGAGCAGAGAACCGGTCTGCGAAATGTAAGATAAATACCTATCATATTGAACTGTGTTTAGTCCAGTCTGCAGCCAAAGGATCAGGCTTTCCTGTTGGCTCAGGATGAACAGTGCAGAGTCTTTTCCCTGAGTCTGGCCCCTGGTGCTTTCCGTTTGTTGTTTAATGATTAAACACCTCAATTATTGATGATCTTGGAATTCCTCAATTATTTAAATGCCCTGTAAGTTGAAAGCAGACCTGGGGTTAATGTTGGTAATATTGTGGTGATCTCTGACTGTGAAGATTTACTCTGCATGCCTACTCATTCTGTTTGAGGTGTCACCTTTAACTAAAGGAAAAATACATCACAAGCAGTTATGTGTATTTAGATAAGCACTCCATTTTCTTTTCTTTCTTTTTTTTTTTTGCTTAAATTAATGATTTCATAATATGCAGTTTTTTTTTATTTGAACACATGGTTCTTTCCAAACTATTTACACCTCTATCTTTTGCCAGTGGTTTTTATTCTTTCACAAATGGGTGAACAAATTAGAGCATTGCTTCAATGCCATCTACCATCACGAAAACTAGAACAAAGCATAACCAAAAGCTGCTACTTTTAATGATTTTATTTAACGACAAAATACAAAATCGAGGCATGATTGCTGTTAATATTGTGACTAGGCTGGCAGAATAGCATTTTACATTGGTATTTTCTTTTAATGTACATGAAGAAAATGTCAAGTATTAAGGCCAAACAATTTGCTGTTTTGTGTTATAAAGTACTCCGAGTATTCAACTATGAAAAGAAACTAATTTGAGTACAGACTCATAAAAAACAGCTATAAGGAAATCATATATTTCATCAGGCCTTTTTACAATATTTTCATATAAAATTAGTTAAGTCTATGGTGCCAACATACTGTAATGGAAGGAAAATTCAGGAGTCAACATTTAGCGGTCAGTATAAATAAAAATACATATATAATTTGTTTAGTTTACTACCAAAAAAAACTTTCTTGGCCATTTTATGCAATAGATCAGCCCAAAATCATAAATACATAAATGGGAAGTGTAAGAAACATGATATACAGCTTTATATAAACTATTTTAAATAAAAATCTAATTCTCATGGTAAGTAAATATATTCAGCCCCCCTTTTTTTGATATCCCTAAATAAAATCCAGTCCAACCAGTTGTCTTTAGAATTTACCTAAATAGATCAAACCTGTATAATTCATTGTAAGCTTATATACAGCTGTTATGTGAAAACTTCAGATGCTGGCAACATAAGCTGGCAAAAGCTAGGTTTCAAATACTAGATGATGACATAGTATCTTAATTGGTGAATGATGTTATGAACTTTATATATATTAGGGTTGGGCAAGTTAACACATTATCACTTTAACACATTTATAAATTAACACAGAGAATTATTTTATGACACATCAACAGTTTTTTTTCTTATCATTATTACTTTTTTGAAAGTCCATTGCTCACCATGGAACATGGTAGTGCATTATGATGTGTGGGGCTTTTCTTCAGCAGGGACATGGGAGATGATAAGCACTGATAGGAAGATGGGTGGAACTTAATAAAGAGCAGTGAAGGAAGAAAACATGTTTGATGCTGCAGAAGATCAAGGTGGAGTTTGACATTCCAGCAGGACAACAACCTTAAGGCGACGGTGGCTCAGGAGGAAGAGTAGTCATCTTGCAATCAGAAGGTTGTGGGTTTGATTCCAGCTTCCTCTTGCCATATGTTGATGTGCCCCTCGTCAAGGCACTTGACCTCAAGTTGCCTACCAATCTGCATATCGGTGTATGATTGGGTGAATGTGGCTCTAGTGTAAAGTGCTTTGAGTGGTCTGTATGAGTGGAAAAGCACTATATAAATTCAGTCCATTTACCATTTAAACATACAATGGTTCACATCAAGGTACCATATATTCATGTTTTACGATAGTTGAGTCAAACCCAGGCCATATTTCAATTAAGAATTTGTGACAAGACTTAAACATTTTTATTCAGAGATGTAAATAATCCAGTGTGAATGGCTTTGAGCTGGTAGAGACATACACCATAAACTTCCAATTGCAACGATGGCAAAAGGTGGTTTTGAAGTTGCTTAAATATCTTCAGATTACTTGACATTTAGTTTTGAAATGGAACATAAATTTGTGAACTTGTGTAGAAACTGACTAATACATTTGTACTTCATTCACTGCAGGTTTGGAGCCAGAATTACTCAGTTTTCTCCCCATACAATCAGCTGCAGATGTCCACAGTTAGGATAAAATCTGAGGACAGAAGAGCTATTAATTGTGCACTCCAGAAATCTGGCCTTTTTAAAAGACTGGGAAGATGAAAGCCATAAGAACTCATGTTTGGTGTTTTTCATAAGACATGTAGGAAACAGTGGCAAACGTATAAAAAGGCCCTTTTGCCTACAGGGGTTTGACAATGAAACTGAAACACCTGGTTTTAGACCACAATAATTTAGTGCAGTGGGGGCTGCATGGTGGTGCAGTTGGTAGCTCTGTTGTCTTTCAGTAAGAAGGTCCTGGGTTCAATTCCCAGCCTGGGGTCTTTCTGCATGGAGTTTGTGTGTTCTTCCCGTGCATGCATGGGTTCTCACCAGGTACTCTGGCTTCCTCCCACAGTCCAAAGACATGTCTTTTAGGTTGATTGGTCACTCTCAATTGCCCTTAGGTGTATGAATGAGTGTGTGCTTGGTTGTTTGTGTGTTGCCCTGCGATGGACTGGCAACCTGTCCAGGGTGTACCCTGCCTCTCGCCGATAGACTGCTGGAGATAGGCACCAGCTTCCCCGTGACCCACTATGGAATAAGCAGTAGAAAATGACTGACTGACTAATTTATTAGTATAGTGTAGGGCCTCCTTTTGCGGCCAATACAGCGTCAATTCGTCTTGGGAATGACATATACAAGTCCTGCACAGTGGTCAGAGGGATTTTAAGCCATTCTTCTTGCAGGATAGTGGCCAGGTCACTAC